TATTTGGTTGCGTCGGATGGCTTGACATGATCGAAGTCGAGTTGCGTAGCTCAGCAGAAACGGTCATCTTCAATTGAGGCTTTTCTTTGATAACTGATAACCACATGATCTAAATGATTCTGTCATTGACTTTCAGATGGCGGCCTCCTAGTAGCTCGATGTAAGCGTTTGTGCTGGTATTTCGTAGTGGCCAGGAATAGCCAATGTTCAGCGCGCGACCGAAAAAGTTACACTCTGTTGTCGGCATTCTTCCAAATCGAGCACTCAGTTTACCCGCCAGAATGACTAAATCCATTCTTATTGCTAGCCGAAGCAGTCTTGACATACAGATAAATAGCGAACCACAACCCAAGTATTGTCAAAAGGAACACGGGTAAAGCCCTGAAATTTCCTGCGTACACACGCACTATCTTCCAAAATACTTTCGTTCAAAAATCCAATTCGGTCGTTGCATTTTTAACGACAGATTCCTGTTCGCGTCGATTCTGACCCAACCTAATTGTGTTCCAAAGTTTCCAGCATTTCTAATCAGCCCTGACTTGAGGCGTAAAATTTCTATATGCATGTCCCAATTCAGAGTGTCACCCTGTGGACTTGCACTTTTTGTGCTTTATCGAACGGTATGTTTGACCTTCACACGTACAGTCAACCGTATGCCCAAAAAAGTAACCGAATGCACCAGCTAGTTAATCCTCCAACTGGTATGGGATGGTAGCGATGTTTTAAAAGTTTCGTAGGACCATCTTGGTACCACTATCCCCGTTATGCCGCAGATCTTCAACTCTTGTGACTTTACAACAGGGGCTACTAGACAGAAATACAAACTTATCTCAGCTAGGACCCCGGGGGCAGGCGCAGTCATAAATCGATAATCTGTGTGGTTTCATTGCTACTGCAAATCGAAAAGAGTAATCTGGACGGATAATGGCAATTGAAAAACTGGCTGAAATCGGATGCTAAGCAATCTGGGAGAGAAAGTTAAACGTGTAATCTGATTTCAAAGAGAGGCTCCAACAGAAAAAACGAATGAATGAAATGATCATTCGAAGATGCTAGTGACAGTAGTAAACTCTAGGTAAGTGTATTGGCTGCCTGAGAACAGAGCAGTTCCAGCCTGTTTGTGAAATTTCACACACGATCAGTATATCCCAAAATTCTAACGCGGTCACCCTTCACGAGTCTGTTGATCACATTCTTGGGTGGTGCTTACATCCCTTTTTGGGCATTAACAATCCGTTTTTTTAGGTAACCCGGCATACTGAATTCTGGTACCCTGTAAAACCAGTCCAGTTTGGACATTGAACGATGTGATGGTAATCAATAACAAAATGGACCACATATTCAAAGTGCACGCCTGGGTCCCTGAACGGGTATGAGGTTGACAGTGGTGGGCCACGCTGATGATCGGAGCGACGAACAGTAAAGTTATCAACGCCAACGACATTGCACAAAACGGCAAAAGATAACTTGGATTGAGCGGAGCAAAATGCTTTTGAATTTACTTCAAACACACATTCATTTCTCTCCTGGGGGGGGGGCATTCAAGCCCTAGATGAATGCTATAAATCAGTCACCGTTTTCTCTTCATTGTCTTTATGACGCAATCAAGAAATGCTTTACACAATGTCCTGCTGCATTTTACTGTCAGGTTGCTTGATGATGATATCCAAGACATCAGCCATCGTGGCTCCATCTGAAGGCATTTGACCTAACCCCCTAACCACCAGTAGTCCGGCCTATGTGCGTAAAGCACATACAGTGACACCAGGATACAGCGGTCCGTCCACTGGGAAGACTCATGTTGTAAACCATTCATAAGTCTGAACAACTAACCTGCAGAACCTCGCTCCGCGTTCAAGTCAGTAGTTGCCGTCCAATTGTTTGTTTCTGGGTTGTAAAACTCAACATTCGAGGTGTATGTATTGCTGTCGATCTTCCCACCGACGACGTAGATTCGGTTATTCAACGCACACGCCGACACCCAGCAGCGTCTAAAACAGAAACAGACAACGTACTGAGGTCGGTAAACGCAGTTGCACACGGACCAGATCAAAATAGAGTATCCGGTGAAACCGATCAACCGGAATTTGTTGTTTCTAGCGGGCACCAGGACACAAGTGAATCATATTTCTCTAATAAGTGAATACCGAATACATGAATAGGGACCTAAGCACACATAGAGTTCAGTCCACCGAATTGAGCGCCCCAAATTATGCCTTTTGGACACAACCATGTGAGATACATGGTGCTGGAGCAGTCCTCAATAACCGTGCTTAGGGGACACTGTTCCCTGGGAAGCCAACATCCTCCAGAAGATATATATACATATATATTGCTCTAGAGGCTTGCCATAAAATTTATTGTTTGTCGCTACTTTCGTCCTTCGAGTAACGCTACCAATATATATACATATATATTGCTCTAGAGGCTTGCCACTAAAATTTATGTTTGTCGCTACTTTCGTCCTTCGAGTAACGCTACCATCAAACCCGTATTCTTCGTATCTTTCTAGTCAATGGTGATTAAAACTTGCTTACCTCTGACCTGTATGATACGTCAGGTGCCTAGGCGTTTTGGCCTCGAATAGCGTCGCGAGAGTATGAGGAAGGCTCCAGCACTATTAAGAGGATCGCTGAGAAGTTTGAGTCCATTACCACCTTCCCCCTTGTTGAAGCTCATTGTAAACACCTAGTTCTCGAATCTCCACAAAGCTCATACTTTACTTGGGAGCTCGAAGAAGCCCTTTTAAACCCTACAGGATTCGGTCGATTTGACTTTCCAATGCGGATTTTAACATTCATGGTATTCCAAGAGTGATGTGAATCTCGCCCACCTCCACTGCATTTTTTGCGTCATCTGGATAAGTCTCACCCATAGAACCGCATCGATCGTTTCGGAGCATCGTCGAACTTCACCTTAAAATCGAAACAAAGTCCCGATCTAAAGAAAGCTTCAGGGTCCACGGAAGATCAGAACTCCGTATTAAGATTGGCCATCAGCTGGCTGCCGTAAGTACTTCATCGTACGTCCAGGCTCATAATCATCTAATGTGATCTGTCGACCACGTTTAGATGGGTTAAAGTTATCAAACCATTTCAACGCAGATCTCCGTTTGAGGGCGCTGTTTGTACTTCACTAAACCATTCTTTCCACTGCACTTCAAACGCATCCATCCAGTGCTTTGTTCGATTAATGCAACTGGATTGTTCCCGTCGATCGCGGCACTCTGGTATTACTCTCACGTCAGACTTTGTTGCGCTGCAAATTCTTGTTGGGAAAAACCTCCAGATACTGAGATCTGCTTGCTTCGATTCATCAAGTTCGGGCTATACGACGGACTGTTTCCGGTGACCATGTCGAGCAAGGGTGCCATGGCAATCAGCGTCTTTCCGAAAGCACATAATGGTTTGAACGCCGCCTTTTTACCTCCTTCCGTTGGTTGACGCCACCGTCTAGGGCGCTAGTTGGAAATCTTGATGCCCCTCATCGGCTTGGAGTCCTCGATTTTCGTACCGTTTTCAGCAGCTGCGACAGATCGTAGGTAAACAGAAACATCATAGTCGGCACATTCTCTGACAGTGCGTGGTCGTGGTAAAATTAGTAAACTGACTGAAAGATTTTGGAATAGACTATGTTTTGCTAAGAGGTCATACAAAGGACTCGATACGCTGCTCGTTTTGGCGTCGCTCTGTACTTACAAAAAAGGGGCTGATGAAATGGCAACGTTCCGCAGTAATGTTGCTGTCGATACTCATCACGATTGTGTCACGTGTACACCGAGGAGATTGCGGATTTATGATTAAAACAGGACATGACCTCATAAATAGCCATGAGAAGTGACTTACGGGAAGCCCATGTCCGCAATCCGTGTCCACGCATTGCTGATTGGATCATAGTACTCCCCAGAAGACAGAAAACCCTGGATGTTCTGGCCACCGATAGCGTAGATTCTACCACCGAGAACAGCCACTCCAAATCGCCTTCGCGAACAAGACAGTGAGGCTATGAAACTCCAAGTGCCAGATGGGTCGTTCAGTACTTCTGCACTACTTAGTGCTGAAACAAAAGGATTGGTCTATGAAAGCTACCCTCTGACAAGACAACATAAAATGTAAACAAGGAAAGTTGATATACGAATTCTGGTGCACGTATCAGGTAGGCTATAATTCCATCCTATCTGGTATAGTAATTAACCCATTGTCTATACCAGAATCAGCGCACCTTCGAGACTGACACAAAATTACGTTGTTTTTATGAGCTTAGACTTTTGACCCGATGTTTGCAGGGCAAAGATTTCGATCGTTCAAAGAAACTGTTGGCTCGTTGTATGTCAGCTCTTTGGGTGGATAAACTTTTAGCAAGATGAACCGTGTCAATCCCTCTTACTCTACTTATTTGGACGTTCACTGCAGTGAAGGGAACCAATGGTACACGTTGGTATTCAGCCTGTGCGCAACTTTGAAAATAAGATCCAGCCAGCTTATATGAACTGTCATCCGCGTCAGAAACTCGGCCACTGAGATCTCAGGACGTTGGAAACTTCCCATTTCTGGACATCCGTGCCTTCGAATAACTAGTCGATCACACTACATTGTCTAGGCTGGCTTGCGTTTCAGTAAATCCACTTTCCCGGAGGACCACAAGATGGACATGAGATATAGGAGTTCGAGTAACGACTTGGGAGAGTGCAATCTGTTGTTTTTAATAGATAGCTTTCCTCCCGACCGTCTCCACGAGTAGTGTTGAATTCATCCGCAAACAAAAACGTGCAGCTCTCGAGCCATATCTTTTCCGGTTACAAACCGAACTGTGCCAGTTTTAACTTCTGTACACGTACCACTGTACGCGTACACGGTTCGCAATAGCCGATGATGATGATGATGGTGATGAAGATGAGAACGCTTGGTTGTTAGAAACTCGGGAGCTGCACCCACCAAGTGAGCTTCCAGAGCTGCATAGTTGAACGCTTGAATACATTTTCCTTAGTGTGTTTATTACAGACAGATTCTACTTGAAAATACTGGTTCACGAGTATACGGCCTCGCACGCAGGTAAGTTTCTACAAGTTTACTACAAATACAATGAGACCATCTTTAATACTACAAACGTTGAAAGGATATCGAGGTTCAGGCTGGAACAAATGGATCGGGATGAAAGTCGTGGTCACTTCACACATCAACAGTTGTTGGCATTTGCAGACGGATATCCCACTGAATTCTAGGCACTCACCTCTATCATCACTGAAGCCACCAATTGCGTATAGCTTCCCTCCTAGTGTGGCGACACCAACTTCATCGCGTTTACATCGCAGATCAGGGCCAAGTGACCAGGAATTACTCCGGATGTCATATATGTCCACAAATCGGACGGGTTCGTTATGGAGACAGCCACCAATCACATAGACTTGTTCATGAAATAGTGCCACGCCCACAAATGAGCGTTCACGTGGCAAATCCGGGATACCAGAAGATCCGCCTCCCGCGCCGGATTCCCTCTTCCACAGACCGGTTCGAAAATCAAAGCATTCTACTGACGAGATGTCTGAGCCATTCCAGCCAGCGATGACAAGAAGTAACTAGACGGGATAAAATCAAAGTAAACCATTTACAATGCGAGTACACTTTGTGTGATCGACAGAACCAGGTGGCTATATGTGGGGACGGTCACATTACGCATGGCCTTGTGCGTTGAGTCAGATAGCTTAAAATTGCTAGGATGGCAAATAAGCAAATGACTACATTCTACACACAAAGTTTATCTAACATCATCCACGAACCAGGGCCACTAAGTTAAGTTACTTCAACAAGCAAGTAGTATCGACAAAAAGCGCTAGACTCAAACTATGTTAGCTGTGAACCACTTTCCAGTGATCTAAACAATATAACCACCGGTATGCCAAAATATTTTCTCCCATTTTTGTAGATAACCACCTGATTTCTTTTGCCTTTAAGTGAATACTACATAATACATACCACCCATTTATCAAAAAGTAATTTGACCATTCTTATTGGGTGGCACGTGGCTCAGTGGTTAGAGTGCAAATTTATTGACCGAAGGTTGGTTCGAACTTATTGGGTGGCACGTGGCTCAGTGGTTAAAGTGCGAATTTATTGACCGGAGGTTACGTGGTTCGAATCCGATCTCTATCTCCCAACTTCCCCTACGTAGGCTTGGGCAACCTGGCAGTCTCCCAGCCCTCGTGCTTTCTTCGGGTGGCATGGCAGCTCGGGTGTTACAGCTGGACGATTGGGTGGTAGAAACTATGGCTTGGCTACTTGTGACTTGTGTGTTCATGACTATTCTTGATAAAACAGACGAAACTGACCCCTTGCGTTCCATCGCGTGGTTCAAACTGATCCTTGGCCATGAGTTCTCTTCCATCCGATGGTGACAGTTGGTAAATAAGAGCCTGACGCAGGCGTTCTTCACACCATGATCTAGCGACCCCAAATTCGCTGGATTTGTTGAGACGAACCAGATAGGCACGTGAGAGCAATCCAAACCGCACATGATTTAACAGACGCTCGGCGCTTTGCCGACGTTTATCCACATCATATTCGATCCAACGAAGAACTGCTTCAAATATCCGATCCTCGGAAACGGTGAGTCGGTTACTTGCCACGATCTGCTCCAGGTCGTCTGCACTGAGTTGCATGAATTCATCGCAGCTCCCCAGTACTTCCCTGTATTTGAACATCAGGCAAAACGAGTCGAGGAAAGATGCATAATATTCTGTTCACTCTACAGGCGAAAACGACCGGGTAATAAGCCAGAAAACCTGTCGGCTCCGAATCCGTTCAATAAAACAACGAAGAAAAAAGCAGTCTTATCTCCGGTGGAAATAACTAAACCTGTAAACTTCTGGCTACTGTTTGAGCATTCTAACTTAGGCCGGTGTAATCGATCAATAATGTGGTTAGTTCTTACTTGGATATGATGCGGCGGTTCACATCACCTGACTTGATAACACTGGCTGGATTCTCAGTGACTACTTGTCAGATTATTGTGACTGACTGACGTTTCAACAACTCACTCACACTTCGTAGCTTGAAAGAACCGTAAATTGCTTCTCGGTGTCACTTAGTCTCCTCACTGCTTACAACATAATAAGGGCACTTTTGAGGTACCTGGCCTTCGTAAATTAAGATGATTGGTTCGTTTTTTTAGAAAACCCTATGCTTTTGGAATGTGGAACAGTTGCGGGTTGTTGGCTGCCCACTAGCAGTCAGGTTCTTCATAGGTTCCAGTGCAAGTTGCAAGCCAATCAAATATAACCTAGCCTTGGAACAACCACAAACTGTAAACAGACACGAAAATTACGTTGCACCGTGTTCTTGCATTGTCCGTACTTTGATGCAGCAGCGAGACTTGAACGGCATTCTAGATTTGTATACGATTTTCTGAAGCTAATCACGCACGTAATTCAGGCCCGATCTCAAGTACCGGAAACCACAGTATCTTATCAGGTGACCTTCATTCACAAGAACGACCGCAACTGCAATACAGAGACAGATTTCAGGTGGGAAATGTTTGCACTGGACAGTGACACCTGGTGACATGCCACAAATACAAGTTTGAGACGTTTTGAGACTTGGCGTGTCTCGGTATTCAAAAAAGTGACGTATTTGTAAGCGACCAGCGACTGACGTCGTTATACCAACACTCAGAAACTTTCGGGGTTGCTCGCCTCATGAGCGCAAGGGCGAAATGTGCCCCATGTGGTACAGCATTATTCGCCCAGTATGGACAGGTGAGCTGAAATACATCTTATCTCATTACCTGCTGGCAGACGCCGACTGGTTTATTTGCGTGCCGCATTACGGTGTGATGCAAAGGGAATTGCAGATAACAAGAGTACGTCACTGGGTGTTTGCGTTCACTGAAATGCTATCTTGCTTATGTGCACTGGTGGCTCTCAACAGACCTTTGACAGTTCGTCTGCGGACCTCATTCTTTCACATCTACAGCACAGTTGTTTTAAACTTATTGGCTGTCATGAGCAGTGCGTATGGCACGAGTTTCCAGGGTGATTCGGACTAGTCTAAGACTAAACCGTTCGGTCCCGAGCGACTGATCAGTACTATGATGAGATCGTTATTGGACAGGAATATGGCGTCACTCATCCTTCAATCACAAGGTCCTCAGCACGTGATCACGTGATCATGTGAAGGGTTCATGCAACTGCTGGATTATTCGTCCTACTGAACCACTTATAAACTGTTAGTAGTATGAAACTATTCGCATATATACCTAAGTATATATTCGTAAATTAGTGGAATCGGTCTACGCTGCAAAAACGGAGAAGAGCAGTGTGTGGAGGCCAATACTTTCTCAAGCCATGCCTGTTTGTATCAGTACGAATGTTAACCATCAACAGACCAAAGCCAAGCGAAACTCTGTCGAGAACACGAGGTACTGGTTTAGAAATTTTTCCCAAAATATGTGTAAATGTCAGTTGAGACAAGGATCGTCCCACAGTATCGCTGACCCTTGGCGCGCACCATAACCGAGATTGGTCTTCGGAAGTAAGCTAATAAAACATAACTTGGTTACCGAATCCATCGTAGTTCAAGTAGTGAGCAGTGATCCTATCCTACAATCGTCAGAAACTTTACCTAATCACCAAAATGTTGAACAAATGATTGCGTCCAAAACCAAAACCCACACTACTGTAAATAGAAGTTTCGAGATCATCTTTCAATGGATTCCACCAAATTTCACGTGGAAATTTCGTACTGGAAATGGTTCACTTGCTGCATCGTCGAGAGTTGATCAACCTTGTGCTCGTTCACCAGTCGTCGCAGCGATTATGAGCAACATGAATCCAGACAGTTTTCATGTTTGAATTCACAAAAAACTTCTACGGAAGACAATTAAGTGTCTTCTCGAGAGAAAAGTCTCGTCCCTGGAGGGGTGATTGAAATAAAATGTTTCCTTGGGCCTTGGGCAATGGTATTTCGATTGTATTTGATTTTTTTATTCCTCGGGGTGCAAGAAACTACTTAACTTTGATCAGATCAAACGTCCCACATGATCAAGACGTTTGTAAATATGCCCTTAGATTTTCATAAAGAAAACTACTCATAAGGTTGCTGAAAATCTTCGACAACCCACGGACCAAATTGGGGCTCATCAGGTAGGCGCAGTCCCCGAGTTTCCGTCAAACTTATGTTTTACTTCAACCCAAATTGAACTGTTTTCGAGAAATACACTTATTTGCAAATCAATTTGGTTTTCACGAGAGGCCCAACTGAATCTCTCGTTTATGATATTCTACAACTGAATGTGCTGCACACAGACCGCCTCATGATTCAGTTGGCACGATATTCGAGATATCGCAGTATAGTTTCATAAATGAAGCTACTTACAAGGTTGCTGAAAACTCGCCGACAGCCCACGACTGGTTTTGCCCTTCTTGGAGCTCATCAGGTAGGCATCAGGTAGGCATTAAAAGATATCTCGGTGTGTGGATGAATCTTTATCCAGGGCCTGGAAAAATTTTGCTCTTGTTGTGAAAAGCTATAATTTGGAACCGCGTGTTGTATTATTTGACGGAGGCTTGCGTTCTTTGGGTACTTGAATCGCTCTTGTGAAAAAGAGATTTCAATAATCAGACGAGTGAATATCAGTTTTGAATAGACAACACACTACTCGTGATGGTTAAGTAGGCAGCCATCCGAATGCTACTACGACGCGTCGGAGCGTGCAACACAAACCTGTTGAGCTGCGCTGCCGTCTACTTTCCAAGTGAAGGAAATGCTCCCAAGTGACCGGTGTTCGTGATTTCGGAAGAGTTTACTGGACGTAGTTCTGCATTTGACACAGAGACCTCGTGAGATCAGAGAAGTAAATTACCACAGTGATGAGGTCATAACACAAACAGGTTTGCGGGAGGGTTCGATTGTCAACGCACTCAGTCCGGTCACCTCTAATCGGAAAGAAAACCCTAAAAAAACAAAATTTTGTGACTGCTAATTCTCAGTCAACACATATCGGCCAGCGGTGGATAAATGTCTACGCACATTCGTCATTTCGCAGTTTCCGAGAGGCAAACAATCAAATCAAAGACGATGGAAGACTCACGAAAAATGCTCACACACAAACCGCATACAGGACTCCCACAGGTTTGTGCAATTGTGCCATTTGGCAAAACGCGATATTCCCAGACAGTTTTCCGGATGCAGTTGGGACTGTAGGAACTGGCAGCAAGCGTCACGCGCAGGCGATATTTGAAGCAAATCGGAAGCCAGTAGAAGAGCCTCAACGGTTTCTTCATTCAAGAAGAGTTCTGTGGATAGATAGACGGAAGGTGTGCGACAGTTGTATGAGGGGTAAATGGACAGAACATCTGAGACATACAGTACATACAAACCGGATTTATTCTCAAGCATAAGTTTGGCTAACCTGTCCCCACGTGATAAAGAGAAATACATTGATCTGACGGTTGCAACAAAAACGCAATTCAGATCATTGTGCTATTGGAAAAAAATGATTTTAACCATCGAGGGACAATCCGAGTTCATCTAGTGTCGAAATGTCAAGATAATATTTAGAAGAAACTCAAAAGCTACCATTAAAAGCAACGACGTACCGCTAGCTACTTCTTGAGCAATGGGGAATTTTCACACCTTCGATTTTTGGTCACATCCTGTGAGACGAGGACACCCTATGTTAAAGAGGTGATAGGGGTTTCATCCGGTATTGACAGTATTAGAAGAACCAGCTCCGAACGTAACGGGACTATATCACAGCCAATGGAATAACCGTTTTCGTTGAGACAGATTTCGTTGGTTGTTTTTCACTCGCCCTTGACAGCTGAATATCACTTTTTCTGATCCGCTTGTACGCGACAGTGATCAATAGATCAGCTGGTTCGCACGTTCATTGACTTTTTCTGGTTTGGCCAAGCGCACCAGACTATCAATCGGTTATCCAGACCGGAGTTCACGGTTATAAGAAGGCATTAAGGAGAATGTGGTCCACAACAGATAGTCACTGTGAGCACCCTAATCATGACCGGAACTCGATCCCATAATTTTTCAGGAAAGCGTCGGATATCCCTCTTTTGATCCACAACCGCCTGATAAATTGGGGCCAATTTGTATCCACGCATGCTACGACGTCGCTAACTTATTAGACAACTTTCTTTCAATTGATCGCCCCAACTAGCCATCAAGTGATGACTTCCCTCGATTTGTTGGAGCTTTTTTCAAACGACGGTAAACGGCGATTGGTAGAAACATCGGAAAAAAACAACAACAACAAACAGAGGGTTTTGGAGGGTGAAAAAAATAAAAAGTGGAGATTCTAAATGGTCGATGGGAGCGGAACATTTAGAAGCGTTGCTACAATTTTTTGGCCAGTGACTGCTTCTCTGTCGGCAAAAAGTGCGATCGCTGGTATCCTCACAGCAAGTATCCTCACCTTTGCACTAATAGATAACTTCCGTTTACCCTGTAAGCAGTCTAGAAACAGGGCGCAACCGTGCACACATGTCACAAGCCCCATAGAACAATCGATGTTAATGCTCCACCTTGGAGCCATGCCGGTTCCTAGGGTTTGTATGGTAGATGTGCGTCGAGAGAAAAACAGAACTTCGGTATAGAAAGTCTGATCAGTGTGCAAATGGTGCTCGGAATCAACAGGGTTGCGCTGTTTTGAACATTAGTTGAATCAGTTGATGGGATCAATAAAATCGATGAGTCATCCATGTGGCCCACCCCAATGATTTTCGTTCTTTCAGGAGTTACATCATATGATGTCTCGTTAAGTGAGGCCAAATGTGACCTACTAACCAATTGAACAGTGACGCAACACATGTGGAAAAGTTTTCAAGTCGGCCGCGATCAATAACAACTTACCACCGGTGTATAAAAAGTTAACCAGTTGCACGAGAGCGCCTTCATCCACATTGTTGATGACTACACTTTCCGAACAAGACTCAAGCACTGGGTTAGCAAACATGGCATCGAAGTACTGCGAACTAGATGCAAGGACGACACGGTGTGCGGGAATCTTCGTGGTTCCGGCCTGAAGAGTGACATCGCAAAACTGTCCAGATCTATGTGGAAGACAAGGTTAAGACGGAAAAATTGTAAATAAAGGCAAGAAAGACGAAGATTTTCCAAATCACCACACCGGAGTTAAAATGCTAACAGGTTGTTTGTGTCCAGGAAAACGCAGGAACTCAAGGTCACGTTACTCATTTTCCATTAAAATCACTAAGGTGGATTGTCTGACAGCTTTAGTACAGCCTACAAATGAAGTTCACCAGTGCTTTAGAGCCCAGAAGTGCTGTTTTCCTCATGTTCAGGATCATCTCACCAAAACACACATGAAAATATTCATCCACAAGTGAGTGACCATCCGTCTGGTTCATCGATCAGTCCACAGAATCAAGTTTCATTACTCCCCCCCTGAAAATTAGGTAGGCATAATTTCAGCTCTCTTGATTTGGCACGCAATAAGAACTTATGTAGACCATGCGTGTTGACGTCCAGATTGGTCCTCTGATGAGAAAACCCAAAAAGTGAAAAACTGCCACAAAGAACGCTACTGTTTGTAGTTTACCATGGTAAACTCCCGGAAAATTCCCCCAACTTGCAACCAATCTCCGAAAGGAAGAATGTGCTGCACAACCCACGAGCCATCTGTATGAGATCATTTTTCCACCAGCAAAGTCATCGTAGTGTCATTTTTGCGACCTTTATCGATGATCCCGAGTGAATATATCCCAAGATGACGTTGCTAGCATCGCACCCACTGGGTCCGTTGAACTTAGTGTTGTACACGTGCAAAGTTGTGGTGCGTAAAAAAAACCTGTCGGCAGTCAGAGTACGGTTTGGTGTCACTTATTATCCACGCAATTTCGTCATATAATTCCAGAGAGAAAATTCAAAGGGCGAAAAGGTGTTTACTGCTGACATGCTAGAAAGGCATCCGGAGGTGAGAAGCAGCTCGAAGAAGTCCATCACGAGTGTGCGAAAGAACTCTTTCTCATAATACGGGGAGGAAAACAAAAAATTCCTATCTACTTACCGACGCCACTTGTTTAACCCGGCGAGGACACGTGAAGGGTGGTCACAGCAATACTCACGGCTTAGCTTACCGCTCGAACGGCGACGAAGGGACTGTAGCGCGGAATCCTAGGGGGAAGTAAAACAAAAATCATTAGAACGGAAGAGGGTAGTTGGTTGTAGTCTACTGGTGCCACTCTCCAAACGAATGGCCCGAGTGCGCTTTCGGCTCCACGGCTCTTTACCGCGTAATATCACCTCACTATGGTCTATTGAATAGGCTGTGTCAGCAATTGGGACGTGTTATGTCCAGCCGGGAAGTGTGTGACCGACTTCTGTACAGGTGCTGGCCGGACCGTCCTCAGAAGGGTGGAGAATCGTTCGGTATTCTACTAAAATCTGGAAATCTGTGGTCAAAATACACTTTTACAAGGTTCCACGTTTGACAGTAAAGGTACCAAGGAAAGCACAAGCTCCAAGAAAAGAACCGTTCATTGGAATTCTCCAATCCACACGGTCTAAGTAGCACAACTGGGGAGGAATCCGTATCTGTTTTGGAACAGTTATTCCTATCCTACGGATGTATTTCTCGACCAGTATAGTATAGTATGATATAGTACAGTGTAGTATATATAGTATAGGTTTGACAGTAAAGGTACCAAGGAAAGCACAAGCTCCAAGAAAAGAACCGTTCATTGGAATTCTCCAATCCACACGGTCTAAGTAGCACAACTGGGGAGGAATCCGTATCTGTTTTGGAACAGTTATTCCTATCCTACGGATGTATTTCTCGACCAGTATAGTATAGTATGATATAGTACAGTGTAGTATAGTATAGTATAGTACAGTGCATTTCCTTCTGCTGCACAAGTCTATTGATTGATTTCTCCTATCCGCACGGCAGCTTCTCGACTCAGCGCACACGGAATCGGGACATTCAATGAGTGAGAATGTCCACTGACTTCCAAGTTGAAACACGTCCGCTCTGTTCACTTGTTTATCACATAGAATGGAAAGTATATGCTCCATAAATCGTTTATTGTGGAGCATTCTGTCGACGGTATCTTGCCTCTTGGCCCCGAGGGTGATCGTTTTAATCAGACTTTTCTCTCCCGTGGAGATTGATTCGTTGATCTCCTGGAGTTCTTGCAGTCTGACGTCGGGAGTTCTCATAAATCAACTAATTCGAGTGAAAAAGTCCCAGCAAAGAAGCTCTCTCGTTTGGAATCGAGCGTTCATGGCTGAATTATCACTGGTCTCCATCGGACAAGGGGTCATCTCACATTACTTGCCTGTATCTCCAACGTTTTCACCTCAGTACGGTTAAAAACTCCGCTTTCTCATTAACTCGGATCTAGCATACCCTGAACAAACGAAGCACTTGTGCACAGGGTAAACAAATTAGATATTATCCCGGTCGGAGAGATCTCGACTGAAAGGGCAGTTATGGTATGCGAGCACCCTTCGAGGAGGGGGGAGGCAAATGAAGGAAATTCAACGGGCGTCATGCAAAAATGAAAGGGAGCCGGTACACCAGAAACCGTTACTGAGAGGGACGAACGACCATGAATGCCTTCATTTTATCCACTGCAAGTAATGTGCATCCACCAGCAGCAAAGTTGGATAGCTTTGGGGCGTGTAGCTATCTCTTTTGCCATAGGCTACGCATCTGACGTCGCTGTTCATGGGCAGTTGCAGCAATTGGTCGCAAGAGTGGGTGGCAACTTTCTAAACTGCTTTGCCGTTACGAAGACACTGTACCTTACCGTGGTGTGACGGTTTGCGAACCTCCGTGAATGATGAACAGTCGCACAAGTGCGTTTGCATCTGAGTAATTCGGTGGGACGTTGGAGCAGTTGTAATGGAAACTGATATCCATGGTCGGTGGTTGTGACAGATCGTCCCCAAAAGTAGAGATCCATCATGCAAAATGATCGACACATGTCAGGGGAACCCACTAGATATCGTGACAGGACCGAAAATGTCAAGGTGAACATGGTCGATTCGGTACGCTTGGGTGACAAAGGTACCTATGGGTGAGTGAGTATGGCCAATGACTTTCGAGCGATGAAATGCGAGGCAAGCTTTTTCCCATGAATGGAGGATGGCTTTGCTCACATTCGGCCCTACGAAACGTTGAGAAATGAGGTTGGGCGTTGCACGAATTTCAGGGTGTGAAA